CCCCAAAACCCCAAAACCCCAAAACCCCTAACTTCTTAATAATTATTGAACATTTTATTCTATTGAATACTCAGGCTGCGTCTTTCTCGAGAGACTGTCCCTTGGTTCATGTATTACAGGAGATGAGATATCCACTTCTTGGTTATGAAACTTGATTCGTCCTGCATTCCTACTATGAGTTTTTTGATAACAGGCTATGCCCAGTACTAGCAAAAGTACTGACACAAGTACAATTATGAACAAAACCAGGTGGTTATAATTTGTAATCCCAGTACAGTTCTCGCACTGGGACTCATAAGGTTTCTCTGGCTTTGTGATTGTTTTGTTTGTACTAGGCTCTTGAGGTTTGGAGGGATCTGTTGAGGGAATTTGGCCAATAGGGGGATCTGGAGAGGGGCCAGGGGAGGAAGAAGAGGGTTCAGGAGAGGGAATGGGTGGGGATGGAGGAGAGGGAGGTTCAGATGAGGTTGGAGGTTCTGAAGAGGTGGGAGGATCGGTAGGAGTAGGAGGCTCTTCAGTGGGTTCTGAGGGAACAGGAGGGTTTGTTAATGTAGGAGGGGTCTCTTGAGGAGGAGAGGTTGTGCTTGAAGGTGATTGAGGCTCTGAAGGAGTGTCTTTTGGGATTCTTATCTCAGAGTTGAGGTATTTTTCATCGTCGTAGATGTACATATCAGGATCTTTGGATCATTTTGAACGAGCTATTCCAACTTTGTTGTTAGTCATATCAAAAATATACATATTTTGTCTCATCATTGACCCACCAATGATCATCATTGAATCTGATCCAAATGGGTCGATAGCTAGTCAATATTCTGTTAGTCCTACTTGATAGAAATAATCGCTTGGGAACCATTTTATGATAGCATTATCTCCAGTTACGAATTTGAAGACAGGAAAAGATTCGAAGAATTTCTTTTTAGTTTTATGATCTCTAGATGAAAACTTGTAACAGTTTGTTTTAGATCTATACTTTTGACAATTAAATTTTTCTCCTCCTCATACTTTTGTCATGACCCGATCAACCTCTGCAAGTTGAGTTTTGCTCAAATATGCAAAGGTAGTACCTGAGTCTATCATTGCTGAGACTGGGGCTTTTTCTATTTTCTCATCTCCGATTGAGACAGATGCAATGTTTATATAAAACCTAGAACTTGATGTCAAATTAGTCCACTGAATTGGAAGATCAGGGTGGATCAAGAACGACTCATCATATCCTCCAATGGAAAATTTTCCTCCATCCGTTCCCAATCAAAGAGTAAATTCATTATATTGTACAAGCCCTTGTTCGTAAAGTTGCTGATAAATTGGCATGATTTCTCCATGGCCTCTACCTAGTCCCATTATTCCGTCCGCAGCTTGGGAGTAGAAAAGATGGGTTTCAACAGTAACACATCCAAATAAGAACTTTTGTTTATCTTCTCTGTGATAATTATCGCCAAAATAGACATCATCTTTAACCCAGTATCCTTCATAAGAGCTACCCTCTCCATATCTAATAGAGAATTTGCATTTATCACCGTCAGTGCAACTACATGAATGGTCTTGTCATTTCAGAATTTCATTGGTGTGAGAATTTTCAATTGAATAGTAATCATGTAAATGCTTTCCTCAACGACGACATGACTCCTTACAAGGGAAACAAGTGAGTCCACTTCCAGTATCAATTATCAATGATTGTTCAGTAGGATTATCAAAGTCTCCCACATGAATTGGAACGTAAAAATAGTAAAGTTGAGTGGAATTACCATAGATAGACGCTGTCTCTAATGGTGTGTGATATAAGGTCCTCCCATTTGAGTGCACCTTCTTTTCCATTCCCTTAAAGTGCATCTGAGAGTATGCCATAGAAAGAAGCATAATTAAAATCTCAAATGTTGCCATTTTTGGAATTCTGTCAATTAATTAATTGTTAAAAGGGGTTTTGGGGTTTTGGGGTTTTGGGGTTTTGGGG